TGGGAAAGTCTTGTGAATTATACTGGTATGCTGGCAGAGGTCACTGGGGGAGTTGAGAAGCTCCCTGCAGCCAAGGCCCTGGGTTTGGATGTAATGCTAAAGACTAGACACTGTGGGTTGTCTTGGTTACCTGCAGCGTGTGCTCCAGTTACTGAGGTGTTATTGCCCAGTTTCCCAGGCAAAGTTTATTTCAGGATGCTGGAAGGGAACCTCCAAGCCAGCTGTCCAAACTTGGACCAGGAGGAACAGTGCAAACAGTCTGCATGTGCTTTGTAGACTTGAAGAAAGCCTACGACCCTGGAGGCACCTGTACTGAGGAGAATAGGGCACTGCTGCTATGGGCCATTAGGTCCGTGTATAACCAAAGGTAGAGATCTCTTGGCCCAAAGTAGAGCACCCAGTGGACCCTGGTTGGCCCCTTTGTCCAATCCTGTTCTTGATTTTCATGGACAATAATCAGCCGATAGTCAGGCTGAGGAGTGCGTCCACTTTGGCTCAGAAATGGATCTCTGTGGTTCTGCTGGGTTCATCAGAGCGTGACCTGCAGCATGCCGTGTGAAACAGCTGGGAGGAGAGCCAGCACCTTCAGGTTTTTCTTATTCATGAGCGATTAGCAGGAATGCAGATGTACCCAACTGTCGAGGTGTAGAGAAAGCTGAGCTTTTCCTACTTTATCTGCATCCCAAACCTCACCTATAATCATGAAATCTGGGAAATAACCAACAAATAAGATCATAAATACAAGGCCCCTCCTCCACACGGTGACCTGCTTTAGTCTTAGAAATAGGCTGAGGAGCTCAGCCATCTGGAGCCATCTGGGACTAGAGCTGCTGCCTCAAGTCTGTTCAAAGAAGCCAGTTGAACTGGTTTGGGAATTTGGTTAGGATTGACTGGACGGGATTGACTGGGAATGCTGTGGATTTTTGGAATATCCTCCGTAGGCTCCAGCCACGTGGAAGATTATGGATGGATGGAGTATAATTCCCACGATCAAGGTGATGCATGGCTTGTCTTCTGGTTGCCATGTATACTGCAAACCCAATTACTGTGTGTCTCATTTACGGCTGGTAGTGAAAATGGTTGCTTGACGTTACTCCTGAATGTCTCGTCGTTTCTCCCAGGCTTCTTGTGACTGAGGAACCTGACAGGAGCTCAGAGGGCTCTGCCAGCTGTGTACAGCTGTAGCTATTACAAAGTAGAAGTGCTGACTGAAATATTATACATAATGTTTCATTTGTTGATACTGCTGAGTGGCACCTCCTGTAACATTAAACGTGTTGTGAAAGGTGGCAAACGTGAAGGATCTGGGAGTCTGTCACTAAAAGCCTTTTTAATGACCCAATCTGACTGTGTGACGAGCAGGAAACCTGTTTGTTTCTTCTTGTATGTACGTGAGAACTTGTTTACAACGTGTAGTCCACCCTCCAACAGAAGATTTTGGGTACCAGCGGAGCGCCTGGCAGACCTCCCCCTCCTTCATCTCTCTGTCCAATTATTGCCACACCTGACAGACTGCTGTAATTGTTTGTGCTGAAGGAATTACGCTGGCTGCTGCTGATGCGCTAGGTGCTTAAGTTCACATCCTCAGACACATTAATATGGAAATCCCTGTAAACTAAATATTTGTCCCCCTTTTTATGCAAATGTCTTAGAACAAAGCCAGATATCACTTTGATGTTTTGCTTCGAAGAGTTTTAGTTTTCACTGCCTTTTCTTGGCTCGGTATAGCGCTGCCAATTATGCCCTGCATTCAAGATAAAACTCCCTCTAACCTTTATGAAAAAATAAAGGTTACTGTGCAGCTTCTTCTTTATGGTTTAAGCAGCATTTGTGTTCTACCTAAGCTCACAGACACACATTTTATAACGAGGTTCATTCA